AAATCTATACCTTCTCTTTAGGTGTAGCCTTTGGCTACTAATCTTGCCTTATACCTAAGAGGGTCAGAGAGATTTATACCTTCTTTTACCTTGTAAAGCCATCTACACTCGATCAGTTTTTGATTTTTAGGATTTGGAACCAAGGACCAGGTCCCATTCAGCTTCAGGGAGTGCATCTCTTCTTCCATGGTAGCCTACCACTTCTCTCAGTCCTTTGACTTGATTTCCTCCTCATAACTATCTAGTTTTGTTCTTTGTACTTCAGAATTAGCCACCAGTGTAGTATATATCAGATCAGTGTGAGTATTTGGCTGGAGGTCTAATTTCCCTTCTGGTTTCATCTCTAGTAAGTTGATATTGAGTCAGTGAACCATCTTAAGGTTCTGCAGGGTTTTCTACTGGTTCATCTTCATAATCAAGTTCCAAGGTAGTTGTACTAGTCTTAGCATCAAGGTTTTCTGCTTCAAGTTGAGCTATTGAAGGCTCCACCTCAATTTGTGTACCAGCCGATTGATCTTCACTCAAAGGAGCATTGCTTGAGGTGTTTACATCATGGTTGGCGGACTTGCAAGGAAACCAATTTTCATTAAAGATAACGTCTCTACTAATGATAATTTTTATTCCTGGTGCATTTCTCTCCCATACTCTATACCCTTTTGTCCCTTCTTGATATCTTAGGAACACACATTTGATAGATCTTGGTTCTAGTTTCCCTTCATTTATGTGTGTATAGGCAGCACACCTAAAAGTCCTAAGGTGACTTATGTTTTGCTTTCTATTAGACCATTTCTCTTCAGGGCAAACAAAGGTTATGGCACTAGAGGGACTCCTATTGATTAGGTATGCAGCATTATTCAAGGCTTTTTCCCAAAATGTTTTTGGTAACCTTGATGTGAACAGTACACATCTAACTTTCTCTAGTAAGGTCATGTTCATCCTTTTAGCAACCCCATTTTGCTGACGGATTTTCCTAACAGTTCTATGCCTAAGAATCCCATGATTGCTACAGAATTGATCAAACTCTGAATTGCAGAATTCTAACCCATTATCCGTCCTAAGGGCCTTTACCTTTTTGTCTATTTGATTCTCTACAAATAACTTTTAGCTCTTAAACCTATCCAGAGCCTCATCCTTAGTCTTAAGTGTGTATACCCACACTTTTCTACTAAAATTGTCTACTATGGAAAGGAAGTAGCTACTTCCCCCATGTGATTTCACCTTTTCAAGACCCCACAAGTTAGCATGAAGGTATTCTAAATAGTTTGTAGCAAGGTGAGTTCCTGTTTGGAAACTCACCCTGTGTTGTTTACCCATTATGCATGTTTCATAGAAATTAAGAGTGTCAATGAAATCATTACCATTGCTTGCTTAGGATATCTAATCTTTTTTTGCTCATATGGCCAAACCTGAGATGCCACTTTTTTGTAATAGTAAAGTTAGTAGAAAACAATGCAGAATTAAAGTAATCTGGGTAGTAATTCCCACACAGGATATATAGACCATTACTTTTTACTCCCTTTAGAACAATGTTATTATTTTTATAAATATTAAGGTAGCCCTTTTTAGCACTGTAACAGCACCCAAACTCATCTAGAGTTCCTAGTGAAATCAAGTTCCTCTTGAGTTCTGGAATATACCTACCCTAGTCAGTTTGACCAATTTCCAATTGTTAAGCCTTAAAGTGATACTCCCAATCCCCTAGACCTTACAAGCATTATTGTTTCCCATGTACACAGTCTCATGTTGATTAGTCTCAAAATCCTAGAACCACTCTTTGTTAGGGCTCATATGGAATGAACAACCAAAATCTAGAACCCACTCCTGCACACTATCAAACTTAGACATAGCTAGGACTTCAGATTCCTTAATATTATTTTTAGTGGTGGCCAAATTACTCTCCGTATTATTCTGTTTCTGTTTTTTAATCCACTCCAAACAATTCTTTTTTAAGTGCCCTATCTTATTGCAATAGAAACACTTCCTAGTTTCCCCTTTTGGTTTGTGTGTGTTTTTACCAGTCTTTTTATTCCTAACCCATCTATCTCGATTCTCCCTTTGCTTTTACAAACAAGTTATTCCCATTCCTCTTTTGAACCATAAGTTCTAGTTCCCTAGCCTTTAGACCTAAGACAATTAAATCAATGCTAGGGACTGTGCCAATGTATTGCAAAGCATTTTTTTACAACATGATATTCTTCTGTAAGTGAGTTCAACAAGATCATTGCTAAATTAGATTCATTGAGTTCATGATCAGTACCCTTAAGAACTAGGGTTATTTTCAAGAACTTGTCTAGGTTTTCCTCCACAGTCTTAGAACTATCCATTCTATATGAAAATAACACAACTTTCAAATATGCTAAATTAGGTGCAGACTGTAAAACATAAAGGGATTTGAGCTTATCCTAGAGAGCAATTGGTGTCTCAATACCATCTACCTCTCTCAAAACGTTGTTTGATAGATTTAGCATGATGAGGTTGTAAGCTTCCTTATCAACCTTTGCCTTCATCTTCAATTTCTCCTCAGACCATTTAGTTGCTTCTTTTTCCAATTCGAGTGCCACCTTGTTGTGGGACAATAGTGCCTTCATCTTCTTTTTCCAACTATTAAAGTCAATCTTCTCATTGTACTGGGCGATCTCGACTCGAGTTGTACTCATGGTGGTTTAAAGTGTTTGTGTTCTTGATTAACCAAAGAAACCTAAGAAGACTCATAAGAAATCAAGATTGATTTCTATATCTAAGAAATTGATAATGCTAATTTAAGGATTTACTAACCCTAGACTACCTCGAGGCTATTTAACAAGAAACCCTTAAAAATTGACAACACTAGATTTCAAGAACAGAAACCCTAAGATTGACAAACCCCCAAACATGGGCTCTGATACCACTGATATGTTAAACATGAAATTGTCAACTTCCTAAACTAACAAAATAAACCACACAACTACAGATTAAGAATCAAGAATGAAAAAGAGGCATAACAACACACACTAAACTTTTACCATGGTTCATCTATCCACGTTGAGCTCTAGTAAACTTGGGGCTCACTGCACTAAAGATCAAGAGATTCAAGATGTAAAACTTCTCCTAATTACACAATAATCACACACTGCTAACTCCCTCAAATCCTAAATTGTAACCCCGTTCCTATGAGAAATCTAACCCTGATTCTCAGCCATAAAAGGACAAATAAACCCCCAATACATGATAAGAGCTTGAAAATACACATTTACTTAGTGGTTTATGGGGATTATTTATGAGAAATTAGGCTTAAGTTGGTAAATTTGTTTAATATTTTCATAATTGCCTTTTATGGGATCACGGGTGTGTTTGAGTGTTTTTTAGGTTTTTAGTGCTAAATGTTATGCTTAGATGAAGAATCATGTCAGCAATGGAATGAATGAAGAGTAGAAACAAACGGATCAAGAATCGGAGTTGAATTGAAGGAGTTATGGAGCTTTGAAGTAAAGAGGAATTTCTAGATTACGCTCCAATTTGAGCACACCTCAGTGTTTTGACAATAACTCGAGCTATAGACCGTGGATTAAGACAATTATTTGACTATTGGAAAGCTGATTCAAAGGGATACATTTCATATGCTTACCACTTCTCCAGATTCCATTGTTATCATACTAACAAATCACCATCTTTGGAGTGCTGAGGAATGATGCGAGTTTTGGATTAAAGAAGAAGACTTATCACTGTGCCGCAACACACTTTGTCCAGAATTGACCATGCCGAAGCACAGTGTTGGGGTACAGTCATGACAGTTAGGAATTTTTCTTCCATTTTTTATTAGGAAAATAGGGTTAAGAGTCCTAAACTAAATAGAATTAAAGAAAATAAAACCCTAACCCTTGTGAGATATAAAGAGAAGTCTTTTAACATTATTTTTGGGATTCTTTGGGGAGAATTAGAGGAGCCTAACACAAGTGAAGATCAAAGTGACATAATTTTTGGAGCTTTTGATTTGCAATATAGAGAAGTCTTCTTATTTCTTTCTTGAACTCATGTTGATTATTTTAATAAAGATGATTGTTTCTTTCATATTGATTATGAACTAAATTTTTCACTAGGGCTAAGATGTAGCCCAATCTCTTGATTATGTGTTGATTTATTTATGTTGGTTTTTATTAAAATTTCTTCCTAAGTTTTATTATTATGCCTAATGCTTTTGATTCTTAAGAGCCCACGTATTGAATGAACTAATGGACTAGGTTGAGATCGAGAGATGATATTTAGTTGGTCTATGACAGTAAAACCGTAGGTTGAGCAAACACTAGAGATATGATACCGCGACTTGTGAGGTTTTGGTAAACTCCATAGAGCGTAATGATCTCCAATTGCTTAAATCTAATTAGAGATAATTGATAATTGTTCGAGAGAAAGTTATTGGAAATTTAGGGAGTTTGACCTTTAGGAAGAGCTTAATAAAATTAGAATAAGTAATCAATACATATATAAGAATAAGAGTTGGTGTGAAATCTATGCCCTATGTCTAATCATCTTGCATTAAAACCAAAGATTTATTAGTTGTTTTCTTTTCAGTTTTCTTTTAATTTCAATTGTTATTTTTTTAATTTAATTTTTCTTGATAAAATTTGGGTTAATCAAATAGCAATAGGATAGTTAATTTTGGTAATTGATAGTAGTAATTCTCCTGGGTTCGACATCTATATTCATACACTTTATTACTTGCATGATTTCGTACACTTGTGAAAATTCACAATAATACACGATTACACAAATCACTGAAGATTACAAGAATTGAACTGATTTGAATAAACCTTAGCAGAAGCACTATTGTGGAAAGTCAAAGGAGTGAATCTGCCCAATTTTTTTTGCTTAAATAGGTTGACCTGTTTGGTAGATGATGGCCGTCAGATTGGGTTGAAAGCAATGGCTAGGATTGACTCTTAAGATGGCTTGGAACGGCAGTGTTTGAATTAATATCCAACGGCACTGTTTTAGCTTCACTTCAATAGTATTGAATTGGTAGAATGGTGCATGCTCAGTTTGTTATAAAAGGCTTTCATTCTCATACTTTTCTTGCTACATCTCTTCTTAACATGCATGCAAATTTGGGGAGTATTGTGGACTCGAATAAGGTTTTTGATACCTTGACAAAACATAATCAAGTTTCTTGGAATGCAATTATTTCGGGTTTTACATTAAATGGACTGCATTTGGAATCATTTGATCATTTCCTTCAAATGAAGAATGAAGGAATCAGGCCGAATATATATACAATAATTAGTATTTCAAAAGCCGTAGGGCAATTTGGTGATATGGACAAAGGGAAAGAAGTTCAGTCTGTTTCCCTTGAGTTGGGTGTAGAGTCTGATGTGCAAGTGGGGACAGCTCCCATTGATCGGTATTTGGAATGTGGACTCCACATGAAGCAAGAGCTATTTTGACCCAAATTTTAGTAGTTTTGCATGGAGTGCCATGATTTCCGGTTATTCACAAAATGGTTGTAGCCAAGAAGCTTTGGAACTCTATGTAAGAATGCGTCATAATAATATAAAATCGGATGTCTATACATATTGTAGTATATTCAATGCCACTGCTGATTTTAAGTATTTACATTTCGGGAAGGAAGTTCATGGGATGGTTTTGAAGTCTAGTCGTGATATGATGGTTATTAGTGTTTGTAATGCAACTGTTGATGCATATGCCAAATGTGGAGCTCCTGAATACAGAAAAAAGAGTTTTTACGAGATGGAGGAGAGAGATATGGTGTCATGGACAACCCTGGTGACTGCTCACTCTCAATGCTCGGAATAAGAGGAAACATTGGCTATTTTTTAACAGATGAGGGAAGAAGGTTTTAGACCCAACCAGTTTACCTTCTCTAGTGTGTTGGTTTCTTATTCTAGGCTTTGTTTTCTTGAGTACGGACAGCAAATTCATGGTCTTTTGTGCAAGGCTGGGTTGGACAAGGACAAGTGCATAAAGAATGCTCTGGTGGACATATATGCAAAATGTGGCAGTGTAAATGAGGCAAAGAAGGTCTTTGAAAGAATCTTTGAATGGATTTCTAACCCTGATACTGTCTCATGGACAGCTATGATATCGGGTTATGCGCAACATGGTCTCAGAGGATGTCGTTCGACTCTTTAGAAAGATGGAGCAACTGGGCATGTGTTGGAACCCACTCCTCAATCAATTCAGATAAAGCAGAGAGCAAACACTTTTAAGCAATAAAAATAAGAACATAAGGCTAATCAACGGGAAACACCAGAATTGAAGAACTTATCTTTATATATACATTAACAAAAGAAGAGGATAAAAGCTATACCAAGAAGGAATTAGCCAACCTCAATGCAAACATGAAAGAAAAATAAAAAAACGGGCAGGAAAAGATTAAGAACCAGGCTGAACTTCGAGGGTCAGCATCCTCCCCTGTTTTCCCTTCCAATTTTCCTGATATCCTTTCTTCCCTTTTTGCCTCCATTTTATTATTTTTTCTATCTAACAGAATTCTTCTCATTTCCCACCAATTACTGCCATTGATCCACCCAATAACTAATTTTTAGCACCGTACTCAGCTGAATCTTCTTGTCACAACCCCATAATCCCCTACTTGCCTCTCTCGGACTTCCTATTATACAGCACAAATTTGATGGTCTCATCATTACCCTCCCCAAGAAAAGCCACCTTGTCCTCAAGGTGGAAAGAAGGAACTGACGGTTGAGAGTGGTAAAGTCTTCCTATGTGTTTTTACAATGACACAGTCCTTTCCACTTGATAAGGACTTCGTGGTCTCCATTCAATAACCGATGTATTTTCAATACTTCTTCATGTTTCACATTTAGGATCAGGTTCTCATCAAGGTTGTCTAGTAGGGGCTGGGTAGTATGTAAAGGGACATTAGCCTTCTTGAGCTGGGAAACATGAAACACATTATAAATACAGGTTGTCGGTGGTAGTGTTAGCCAATAGGCGATTGAACCTATCTTGTCAGAAATCACATAAGGGCTATAATACCTTGGACTCAACTTCTCATTAAATTTGGTGGCTAAGTAGTGATGGCAATGCGCTGGGCCGGGACTAGGTACCCCTTGGCCCAGGCCCAAGCCCGACCTCATGACAAAGGACAAAGCCCGGCCCGGGCCTGTCACGGGTATGACAGGTAAAGCCCAAGCCTAAGCCGACAGGTTTTTTGTAACCTCAGGCCCAGCCCAAGTCCGCCCATTTTTATAATGTGAATTTTTAAATATTAATAAATTGTAATTTTTTTTTTTTAATTCTAGAAACAATTTTTAAATATTAATTTATTTTTGAATACTCACCAAATATATAAATAACTTTCCACAAAGTGCATCCATCCATCCATGTAGGGTTTGGAAAAAATGAGTATATATATGTAGGATAATTTTGTAATTAAATATATAGTATAAGGGTAATTTAGTATAATTAATACTAAAATTTTCGGGCCGGGCCGGGCCTAATGACATACCCAGGCCCAGCTCGTACCCGAGTTCGAGCCTTAAAATTAGGCCCAGGCCCAAGCCCAAGCCCGCGAACATCGGGTAAAGCCCAACATTTTTGGTCTGGGCCGGGCCGAGTACCCGAAAATATCGGGCCTATTGCCATCTCTATGGCTAAGGAGTGGAAGCGATAAGGTTGGAGTTTCAAATAAACTAACTCACCCACCTCAAAAGTTACTTCCCTTCATTTCCCATTAGTATAGATCTTCATGCAGTTTTGAGCCTTAGTGAGGTTGTCCTTCAATTCTTGCAATATGAAATTGCGATCTTGTAATTGTTGGTTCACCTCGTCTACCACAAAACTGTTGTCAGTATACTTCAGGAGAGCTTGTGGGTCTCGGCCATAAAGTGCCTTGAAAGGTGTCATTCTTGTAGAACTACTGTAGGTAGTGTTGAACCAATAGTCTTCCCAATGTACCCATTTTGGCCATTGTCGTGGCTAACCACTCACAAAATAGCAAAGATAAGTTTCCAAGCATCTGTTAAGTACCCCAGATTGGCTGTTTGTTTTGGGGGTGATAATCTAAACTCATAAGAAGATGGGTGCCAAATCGCCTAAACAACTCTTTCCAAAAAAGACTCATAAACACAATCGCGATTGAAAGCAATGGTGTGCAAAAACCCATGTAGCCGTATGATTTCTTGTGCAAACAAGGCTGCCACATCCTTTGCAGTGTAATGGTGTTTGAGAGTGAGAAAATTGTTGTATTTTGTGAGTCAATCTACAATAACTAAAATAGTATCGCCAGTAGTTGATTTACCAGTGTATTAAACTCATCCAAATGTGCAGCAAAAGAATCACTATCATGCATATATAGATTATAGAGTTTCTTGCGATGGAACAACATGTTCAACAAAGACTTAGATACATATTTTCTAACTTCTTCCATAAACCCATAGCCTTATCCTGATCCATCACATTTGTTAGAACGAAGTCCTCAAGGTAGATGCAGATTAAACCTCTGGCTTTTTGATCCACCTTGTCCCATTCTGCAAGTACGACACGATCAGCCGCTGATAATTCTCCTCCAGATGCCATTATAGGTACAAACCCAAGCATAGTTGACACTGTAATTCTAGACTTTTCACTCGTCATAGTAGCGACTATCCCAACTATTGGCCTATCATTCTCAATTGCACCCCATAAATCCCTATCAACGATAGAAATTCCATCCGCAATTTCCAAAGCTCAAAGCGTTTACCTCGAACTTCTCAATTTCAACCTCTAAGCCCGTCATCTCTAAATCACAACCTAAACAAACCTAAAGGCTTTGATACTAATTGAAACAATTTAGAGTAATACAAAATCAAGACTGAAAACACACACAAATATCAATTGAGTAAAGAGAAAGAAATATACGCACGATTTACCCTAGTTCACAACTATTTCAACACTAGCATGGGGACTAACTGCCCTACTTACAGTGCTTATGGCGTAGCACCTTCTGGGCACCCACCATGTAAAAATGAGGTGCTGCCAAGTGTATAAGGAAATAAAGCTACGCCTTGGCTATTAGCTATAGCTTTTGGCCTAGTGTTAAGCATTTGATCCTTTCAACTGGTATGGGAGTGAGCTCCCTTTGACTTAGGCCAGTCTTATGGGGGACTGGCATCGAGACTGACCGCCCTACCTACGGTGCTTATGGCACAACACCTTCTGGGCACCCACTAAGTAAAGATGGGGCTCTACGTTGCCAAGTGTATAAGGAAATAAAGTTGCGCCTTGGCTATTAGTTTTAGCTTTTGGTCTAGTGGTAGGTGTTTTATCCTTTCAACAAAAAGAGAAAGGTGTCAAAAAGGAACCAAGATATAGTTGGATTTCTGTACAAGGTAAAGTCCACAAATTCTATGCAGGCAATCAACAACATCCACAAAATGATGACATATATGCCAAGTTAGAAGAGTTAAGGGAGAAGGTTAAGTCCGGGTACCAGACTTGAATATTGCTTTGTGACTATATTTAAGACAAATTTTAGAACTATACACTTTCAAGTAGGCTCAAATTATCATTTGGTCAAGATTATCTAAAACAAGACGTATAATAAAACATCTTGGCATTGGTTTCACCGGAAACAGCATGCATATGGGTGTGTAACCATCTATTTATGATGGTAAGTTTAGGCCACAATCTTGCAATATTTTCAGAAACGCGGAGACAAACTGAGAAAAAGACTTCATGAACATTTATCCTTTCTTCTCACAGATCCTTGAAACCAACACAAAACAACATTTATTCAACCAATGCATTTTAGCTTATATGATTAGAAGGGTGGTCAAATCAAAGGCTTTAATCATATCCTTAATATTTATAGATATGTTTGAAGGTGAAGTAACTTGTTTACGGTAAAAATATGAAAGAAGAACACTACAGTTTTCATCAACAACTCAACTTCTGAAATTTGTTCATTAAATTTTATGCATTATTGGAATTTTTTATATTGAAAAAAGAAAGGTAAGAAAAAATATATACATATATACTTTAATAAAAGGCAATTCAATTTATTGCTTTCCTCAACATGAGCGTATGAGGAAAATTCCACGAAACCACTGAGTATCTTCACTTTGGCCTTTATTGATTGCAATTTCAAACGGTTGTGAAAAAAATAAACAAAGCAATTGAGATAAAGTTGAATGAAGATAAAAGGAAATTGCTTGTGTGATATTATCCCTCTTTGCACATCGTTGAATGAAGTGTTACATCATTTCTTGTGTATCTTTCCTAACAATATCCAGCAATCACATTTAGTCTTGCTTGCTGATGCAAACTTTGAGGAAGTATCTCAGAAGCTTAATTTCTTTATGATAAAGCTTATGGAAATTTCCTGGCTACATCATTCTACTTGTTTTCGTCTTGATTATTTCTCTATCTATTCTTCGCCTTCCTATAATTAGGGTGCCAAAAGAAAATTTCCTGGAAAAAAAGGAATATGAACAATGCATAACTCAATACACCTTCATTGAAAATTGGAATCATTTTATCAACTTTTTCTTTTTCACTTTTNCTTATAGCCAGTAAGCAACAAAGGAAGTTAATATATATAGTAACATTTATTGGAAACTTCAATTTCATTACCATTTTACTCCATTCAATAATCAATTAAAACGTTAACATTAAAATATCAATCACATTAATATTATAATAAAATGGTAAATTAATAAATGTTCCCAAGATAGAATTGGTATTAAAAGTTCTAACGGTATCAAATTCAACTGTCACAATAAAATCATGCATGCATGTGAATGTATATATGCTAACTCTATTAGATTTATTTGACTTAAATGGTAATGAGATTACATTCTTGCTTTAATTGTTTAAGCTCAGGCCCACTCCACAGCAGCTGAACCTGAACCTGAACTTTTTTCATAAGTTTAGGCATTTGGATTTATGTGTATAAAAGTTTGCAAAATATTATATTCTTTTAACTCTTAAAAGAAACTAAAATGAAAAGTACATAGTCCCATTTTTGCCATGCATTTATTTGGTTGCTGGCCGAGATTTTATTTTATAAAATAAACAATATAGTAGCGTAAATTTAGAGGACAAGATATATATATATATATATATATATTTTGGTGGCTTTAGTTATTGTCTTCATTATAGACAGTAATGGCTTTAGTTATTTGCATTTATCTTGAGATTACACAGCGGTGAACTTGCAATTGGTTGAGTGATAATTGTTGTTATTTCTTGTGTGATAGCTTATAGGTAGATAAAGATTAAAAATAGACAATGGCAACATCTGGCTCTGGGTCTTCTTCACAATCTAGTAGATGTATGACTAATATAACATGGGCACATGTTATTGAGGGTATAGATCCAAATGGAAGGAAGACATTAAGATGTCTTCACTGTGGGAAAGTAACTAGAGGAGGAGGTATTTTTAGAATGAAACAACATCTAGCTGGAACAAAGGGGGATGTTGGTGCTTGTAAAAAAGTTTCTTTTGATGTTCAATACTCCATGAGAGAATCACTAAAAGACATTGGGATAAAGAATAAAGAGAAGACTGATTCTAACAAGTATAATACTCCCTACGGTGCTCCCGTACATGTATTTGAGGGAGATATGTTAAATGAAGATAGTGAAGAGTTTCGTCCATCAGGAATTCACATAAATGAAGGTAGGTTTGGCAGTCAAAAACAAAGTACAATGTTAGACAAATCAAAGAGAAACAAATCTATTGGGGTTGGTGATTATTTTGCTCCAAGGACAATTGGTGGATCTCAACCATCAATTAGGAGTTGTTTAGCTGGAAAAGATACTACGTGGAGAGCAGACATGGCTTTTGGAAGATTCTTTTATGATGCTTGTATCGCAATTAATGCTGTAAATTCAATTTATTTTCAGCCTTTGGTGGATGCTATAGCCACAATTGGGCCTGGGTATAAACACCCAAATTATCATGCTTTGCGTGTCAATTTGTTAAGAGATGCTAAGAAGGAAGTGCAGCTTCTTGTTGATAGTTACAAAAAGATTTGGGAAAATGTTGGATGTACCTTAATGGCTGATGGTTGAACTGATAATTCACATAGGTCATTGATCAATTTTATGGTGTATTGTCCTAAGGGAGTTTGTTTTGTGAAATCAGTTGATGCTTCAGATGTTGTGAAGGATGCTGGGACATTGTTGAAGATGTTTGAGGAGGTAGCTTTATGGATTGGACCAAATAGTATTGTCCATTTTGTCTCAGACAGTGGATCCAATTATAAAGTTGTTGGAAGAATGTTGTCTGAGAAATATCCAAGTATTACTTGGTCACCCTGTGCAACACATAGCATAAATTTGGTGTTAAAAGACATAGCTGAGATGGATCACATAGTTTATCTGCGAGACGTGCTTCTGAGGTGATGAAGTTTATATATAATCATACATTTTTGATAGCTTGGTTGAGGAAAAGACAGGTAATATACCTTTAACTTATGTTCTTGTCAAGTCATAACACAATATGCATTTTTTATAATTGACTAACATTTATTATTTATCAATTGAACAGGGTTGGAAAGAAATTGTTCGTCCGGCTGCAACCCGTTTTGCTACAACTTTCATTGCAATGAGTAGCATTCATGAGCACAAACATGACTTGCAAGCCATGGTGACAGATAGGTCATTTGTCGATTCTCGATATGAAAAAAGTAATAAAGGCAAATATGTTATTGACATAATTTTGGATAACGATTTTTGGGATGATATGGGTAAGATATCCAAAGTTGTGAGTCCATTGATGCGCTTGTTGAGGATTGTTGACTCAGATGAGAAGTCAGCAATAGGATATGTGTATGATGGCATGTACAGAGCTAAAAANGAACACTTGCCACATGAAAAATAAAAAAGAGTCCAAAAGCAATGTTTACCATCACTTATTGCTCATCTCCTCATTGTTGGCATCTATAACGCTCCACATAGCCTTAAAGATCCAAGGATATAGAGTGGAAAAAGCTATGAATACAATTCTAGCATAAATGATGCTGTCTGCCAGACTGGAAATCAATATTATTTCTATTCAAACTGGCTGATCATTATGTTTAATTCCATCGCCTTTTTCTTATCGGTAGCATTGCTGATGAGACTCTTCAATGAGCTTCCACTCAGGCCATTGTTACAAGTTTCAGTATTTTCAATGGTTGGAGCCTACCTGTGCACAGTATTGGACCCTTTCAAGCCTCGCTCGTGCTCATCCTAGCCCCTATTGATATTGTTGGAATAGCACCCAGCGAAGCTCCTCTTTTGCTGTAGAAATAAAAGTGTTCCAATGCCTACAGGCAGGTAGAAAATATTATCAAATATGTGTAAAAGTATGATATATAAATCCGGGCAAAACCAACTCTGGTTCAAGCTCAGTTGGTTCCAGTGTGAAACAGCCCAGGGTTTTCAAGTATTATTGATATATAATTTTGTACTTTTGGGGTGAAAAACAATTTAGTATTGACGGCCGTTATTATGAATTTAACATGACAGGGGTAAATTAGACTTTGACGTTTAATATTTGATTTAAAAGAAAAAAAAAAAAAACTTACAGGAGAATTTATTAGTGCGAAACTTAAATTGGAAAGATTGAATACAAGAAAAATAAAATAGCAAACTTAAACTTCTCTACGAATTGCACCGCGTTAGTTGCTTTAGTTTCGTTACCAACAGGTCCATTTCGTCTTTTCACGCAATTCACTGACGTCTGTTAGCTTAAGGGATTAAATCTAGAGCAAATAATATCTAAAAATTGGTTGTTTGGTTGCAGTTAGATTTGCTGACTTCTCACTTCTCAGTTCTCTCAATCATTCTCTGTAAACAAGCTCAAGGGCTTAGGGCTTATCAGAAACGGAGCAGGAACGCCAAGTATGAATCATTGAAACAAACCCAGCTGCTCCATTCACTTCACTTCACTTCATTCCTCTTCCTTCAATTTCATTTTTCTTTTTTTCATTCTCAAAAGGACTTTGTTTTCAATCCGATACGATCGCCAAAAAATGTTGCCAAGATGTAGCGGAGCACTCAGCTCACTAAAATACATAACACATAGAAACCATTTTCATGGTTCTGCCGCAGCTGTGGCTCCAGCTCCTACTCCCACCAAACAACCGGTATTCTAATTTACAGCTTTTCCATCTGTCTGTAGTTTAGATTTATATGTGATTTTGTTTATTATCAGGTAAATCTGGATAAATTGTTTTGGTCTAAGCCTTGTTCCTTGGCTTTGCCCCTGGATTCCCCCCACAGAATTGAGGAGCTACACTATTAAGCGTTTTATTCTACAGCTCATGTTGTTTTATAGTAAATTCGTCTCTTTAATAACTGTTGCGGAAGCAGTGACTCATGAAGATGCCAGTAAGTACGTTTATTTATTTATTTAATTTCTGGGTTGTTTTTTCTTTTAGTTTTTCTATCTTATTTGTTGACAAATCGGGTAACTTTAGTACTTGATTGCTTGGATTTTATTCTTTTCAATTTTATTTTTTTTAACTATGTATCTTATTTCTTTGGTGGGATTATCAGATTGTGGTGAAATTCAGTCTTCAGATAATGAACTCTTTGTTGTGTTATCATGATTAGTTTCAGTTGAAAGTGCTCCTTGATGTGGTTGCTATATGGAGTAGAACGAGTTTTTTGATTTTTCTTTTTGTTCTATATGATTTTGTTTAGTTTTCTTCAGTTCTGGAATTTTATTCTTTTGTTTTTGTCCTTCTGAACAGAGTTTTGCTTTCACTGGAATCTAAAACTTTTTCTAGTGGCTCTTTCTTTCCAGCATTATTTTGCTTTGCTTTTGGAGTTACCAAATCATAGTTTAACTTACACATTATGTTGCCTTGTTTCATCTAGCAAAATTAATTGTTCCCTTATCATTTGCTCTTTTGTCTGATTACAACTTGACTTTTGTCGCATATAGTACATTGTCATAAGATAATTCCTCAATTCCTCTGTTTTAACTGATTAATTGAGGTTGAGTCTGTTTGAATTCTAATAAGAATGGATTGGCTTGTGTTGTTTTTGCTTTCTTGCAGGTGGCATTGCTCTTGCTGCTGGCATTGTGCAATGCTATTAAAGTTAATGGTGAAGAAAGCGATGGACAATGTGACTATAACTTGATATTAGAACCAAGACCTCACAGCGTGTCAATTCAAGAGTTTGGTGCTGTTGGTGATGGAAAAACATTGAATACTCTTGCCTTCCAGAATGCCATTTTCTATCTCAAGTCCTTTGCTGATAAGGGTGGCGCTCAGCTATATGTGCCGCCCGGGAGGTGGCTCACTGGAAGTTTCAATCTCACCAGCCACCTCACTCTCTTCTTGGAGAAGGGTGCTATCATCCTGGGATCTCAGGTAGGTTCATTTGTTCTTTTCTAGTTTTTCCGAACTTTTTAATACTTGTTCCTCTTATATCTGCAATTTGCATCATCGTGAAAATAGTGCAATAAAATACTTGTAACATTACAAAACCAGTTGGACTGGACTTATTTGGTTGGCTAGTAATTGTCTTTCAATTTTTTCTTGTTGGCATAGGACCCATCACACTGGGATGTTGTGGAACCGTTACCCTCGTATGGTCGAGGGATTGAACTTCCTGGAGGAAGATATAGAAGTTTGATAAATGGTTATATGTTGCGTGACGTGGTAATAACAGGTAGGTTAACCACTAATTTTGTTCTGTTTGATCACTGTTTTCCCTGTTGGAATTGTTGCTAAAGAAATTCCACATGAACAATCTAGGTGATAATGGAACCATTGATGGCCAAGGCTCAGTTTGGTGGGATTGGTTCAATTCCCATACATTGAAATACAGTCGTCCTCATCTAGTGGAATTTATATTATCAGAACATGTTGTAGTTTCAAATCTTACTTTCCTAAATGCCCCTGCATATAACATTCACCCCGTCTATTGCAGGTAGGTACTTAGAGAAGCAATACTTCTGTACTCATTTGATTTTTAACTGATTTTTTAATTGATCAAAGAGAACTGAATATAGAATTGTATTCTATGTGATGCAGTAATGTACACATCCAAAACATATCAGTTTATTCTCCGCCAGAATCCCCTTTCACAGTTGGTATAGTCCCAGGTATGCGAAAATTGATTAACTCCCATTTTCATCACATTACATCTTCTGCTCACTCTTGGTCTCTTACTGCATATTTTTGTAGGTCATGTAGTGCCTTTATATAAAGATATCATTTTATTCTTTTTGGTCTTTTCTTTCTGAGTTTTTTCTTAAAGCTCAACGACAATCAGGGAAGAAGATATTTTGTAGAAAAAAAAGGAATATATGCTTTCCAAGTGTTCTTATGTACAGTGAATTAGTAGTTGAGTGCTGAGATCTTTATACTGAGCTTCAAACTAGTTTACAATTTCAAATTTCATATTGCTTTTTTAGGTGGAGCTGAACTGTCCCTCACATTCCCTTGTTTCCAAAATATATAACCTATGATTTCACTTGTTTATACGCATTCTGCCTATCTCATTTGTGTTTTGGGACAATCATGTTGGAAGATTTTGTTGTCTAATGTTAACATAAGTTTATTGTTACTCTCAGATTCTTCCGATAATGTCTGCATTGAGGACTGCAGCATTGCCATGGGGCATGATGCAATTGCTCTCAAGAGTGGTTGGGACGAGTACGGCATTGCTTATGGTAGGCCGACCACAGCTATACATATAAGAAAGGTCCATCTTCAATCATCTTCAGGTTCTACTATTGCCTTTGGTAGTGAAATGTCTGGTGGCATTTCTAATGTATTGGTGGAGAAGGTCCACCTTTACAACTCATTAAATGGCATTGAGTTCAGAACAACCAAGGGTAGAGGTGCTTATATTAAAGAGATTATTATATCAGATGTTGATTTACAAAACATCCACAGGGCATTTGGTGCCAGCAGTCTTTGCGGGACCCATCCCGACGACAACTTTGATCCAAATGCTCTCCCAGTTCTTGATCAAATCACCTTGCAAGATATCATTGGAAAAAACATTACAATAGCAGGAAACTTCACAGGAATACAAGAATCTCCCTTAACCAATATATGCTTATCCAATATTTCCTTATCAATCAATTCTGCCTCTTCCAATATTTGGTCATGTTCATATGTTCAAGGATCTTCAGAGTCAGTGTCCCCTGAACCGTGCTCTGACCTTGAAAGCTCATATACTTCCTCCTCGACTTGCTTTCATCTCATTAATTCTTATGGTAGAGCCTCGGTATTATGATTATCATTCTTCATACTAAAATCCCACTTGGAAAAATCATTTTCTTCTACCATTTACCATCTCAAAAAATTAGGTCAGATTCTTTCCAATAAGACACATGTCTAGAATACTTTGCCATATTCCCATTTTCACATGTTTCACTATCTGCAGATTACATGTACAGTTTCATATCTTCATTCATGTGTAAGGAAATTTTTGGTAGCGTCGGCTCAATCCACATAAAAGGGACTTGCATAATTTTTGTTTTCTTTTGTTTTTCATATAGCTATCTAAATTGAAATCCTTCATTGTTTATAAGGTTTGATGCAGTATAATTTCCAGTGTAAAATTTTTTATTTTATGTGAATTGACATGTTGGGTTGAAATGGTAGATATAAAAATTCCAAGTCATTTGCCTGGAAATAAGAAAATATTTAGATATCATCCGATCTTGATTTAATACCTTATGGCCATTGCCAGTGTGATTGAATTTGGCAATGACTCATGCTTGGTCTCCATTTAACTTGGAAGGCACTGCATCTTTAATAAAAGCCAACTTGATTTATCTTAAAAAGAATCCCAGCTCCCTTCCCATGTTTGAAGATTCTTCTTATATTCTTTACTTTAAAGGAACAACTAAATTATTCTCCTAAAACTTATATCTTAATTCTATCCTCATCTAGTTGCAGGTTTTAATTTCCCCTTAATTGAGTTGATCTTATCATCTTATCCATTGCTTTCTGGAAATCTAAATTTCAAAGTATAAGATATCAATAGTTAGATTACCAGCTTTGCATGATTTAAGTTTAACCACCATTGGGTGACCTGATGGTAAAAGAGTAAAAGAAGGTTTTATAAGCTTTTGAGTTCGAGGCCTTCCAAGCACTAATAGGGATAACCATTAGAGTTCTTATCCAGTCGATAGTTGTAGGGTCCTCGGAGATTAATTGAGGTACGTGCAAGTTGGTCCAGACCCCTTTGATGATAAAAAAAAAAAAAAAAAAAAAACTTTGGACAATTTATATAACTATAATGTATATATTTAAAGGCTTAATTTTTATGCGTACAGTCTCGGGCATGGTTTTAAAAACCGGACCGGATCGATCGGTCTAACTGGTTGGATCGGGACCTGGTCACATGTCTGGTCTGAGTCAATATAAAACCCGGTTATATTCAATAGCCCGCTATGAACCGTCATTGAACCAAGAAAATAATGCGAACCGCCGGTCCAACCGAATCGCTTGATAAACCAATCCAATATTTCAAAAGGGGAAAAAGCCCCTAACATGGTAACACCATTCTCTTTCTAGTTTCTCTACGCAAAGATCCTCTGAAAATCTGAAATCTAAGCTACCCACTCTAATCGCCACTCAATCTCAATGAATTCCACTCTCTGAAGTCTGAAATCACAACCATTGTGTCAATCGCAACTCTACTCTCTGAAATCGACAACGACACCTTCCTCCCTCGCCGGAAATCGATGACGAGAGCTCCATTCCTTGCTGAAAATCGACAATAATGATGACAACTCCATTCCTCGCTGGAAATCGCCGACGAAGATGACGACAACTCCATTCCTCGACGACAAAAGCTCCATTCCTCACTGGAAATGGACAACTACACAACTCCATTTCAGAAAGTGTAAGTTTTTCATGAGTCACGACCCCTTTCATTTTTGCAGATCTAGTTTGCTGTTGTCAATGGGGAAAATATAGGTTGAGAAACATCTGTAACGTTGTTCTTTAAGAGTGGCAGGAGTAGCTCAGTAGTCAGTAGCAAATAACCCAAATTAATTTACAAATTTGTTATGAAATTGATTGTTGAAATCTAGGTTTTAAGATATTCAATTAGCTTGTGTCTGACCAAGGTATTATTTCGTTTATGTTTTACTCATTTAATCTTTGATTGATACTAGAATATTTTGCACTTATGTCCCTTTTGGGGCAAGATGTAAAAGGTAGTTTGCTTTTATCAAGTTGATGTATCTAAGTTCTTGTTATATGATGATGAGTTAGGAAATAATTTATAGCTTATCTAGATTGTTTCACCAGTCATGTCTATCTTGAATTAATTATGTTGGTGAGAATGGGCATTTGATTGATGCCAATGCTGTTACTCATAATGTGAGGAATACATTATCTTTGATTATGAGAATTAGAGATTAGTTATTAGTCTAGAGGGAAGTTTATGTTATGGAAAAACTGCATCAAGTCTCTGTATAGCTATGTAATTGTGTAATTTCTACTGTTATTTTATAGTTCAAAGCTTACATTGCTTATTCGTAAACAAGTCATATATAAATTATTTGAGCTACCTTAAAAATATAAGTTTTTAGTTTATATTTTAAGTTATCTAACAATGAAATTTGGAAACAATGATTCTTTTGAAAAATGTGATTCTGTTTTATTGCGGAAAGTAGCTCAACCAATTGTCCTACCTTGTAGTGTTTTTTTGTTTGATTGACTTAGTGTGTTGAAGGATGCAACAGATGTTTACGTCAAACATAGCCCCTAATAATTATACTTCATAACAGTTGGCTATGGTAAGAACTCCAGTCTTGTATGCCAACTACTTCAAATATAGTGGAATTCTTTTTTGTCCATTAAGCTATTACGGGCCATATCATACTTAATTTATGTGTTTGCTCTTTTTCTTTGGCATAATTTTATGGATCTTGTAGCTTTTATCATGTTTGTCCTTTCTTTTCGATGCATATTTGCATTAATTAGATTCAATCCTTGAATGCGTCCATAATATGCTGGTGTTTTAATATGCCAAGTATATACTAAATTGTTGTTATTTCTTATATGACAGGTAGATAAAGATTAAAAACAGACAATGTCAACATCTGGCTCTAGGTCTTCTTCACAATCTAGTAAAGGTAGGATTGATATAGCATGGGCACATGTTATTGAGGGTGTAGATCCAAATGGAAAGAAGACATTAAAATGTCTTCGCTATGGGAAAGTAACTAGAGGGGGAGGTATTTTTAGAATGAAACAACATCTAGCTAGAACAAAGGGGAATGTTGGTGCTTGTTTAAAAGTCCCTTTTGATGTTCAATACTTGATGAGAGAATCACTAAAAGACATTAGGATAAAGAATAAAAAGAAGGTTGATTTTAGTAAGTATAATACTTCTTACAGTGCTACCGTATATGGATTTGAAGGAGATATGTTAAATGAAGATAGTGAAGAGTTTCGTCCATCATAAATTCACATAAATGAAGGTAGGTTTGCCAGTAAAAAAACAAAGTACAATGCTAGACAAATCAAAAAGAAAAAACCTATTGGGGTTGGTGACTATTTTGCTCTAAGGACAATTGTTAGATCTCAACCATCAATTAGGAGTTGTTTAGCTGGAAAAGATGCGATGTGGAGAGCAAACATGGCTTTTGCAAGATTCTTTTACGATGCTTGTATCCTAGTTAATGCTGTAAATTCAATTTATCTTCAGCCTTTGGTGGATGCTATGGCTGCAATTGGGCTTGGGTATAAACACCCAAATTATCATGGTTTGCGTGTCAATTTGTTAAGAGATGCTAAGAAGGAAGTGCAGCTTCTTGTTGATAGTTTTATAATTATTTTTGAAAATGTTGGATGTACCTTAATGGCTGATGGTTGGACTGATAATTCACATAGGTCATTGATCAATTTTATGGTTTATTGTCCTAAGGGAGTTTGTTTTGTGAAATCAGTTGATGCTTCAAATGTTGTGAAAGATGCTGGGACATTGTTGAAGATATTTGAGGAGGTAGCTTTATGGATTGGACCAAATAGTATTGTCCATTTTGTCTCAAACAATGGATCCAACTATAAAGCTGCTAGAAGGATATTGTTTGAGAAATATCCAAGTATTACTTGGTCGCCCTGTGCAGCACATAGCATAAATTTGGTTTTAAAAGACATAGTTGAGATGAATCACATAGTTTATCTTGTGAGACGTGCTTCTGAGGTGATGAAGTTTGTATATAATCATACATTCTTGATAGCTTGATTGAGGAAAAGACAGATAATATACCTTTAGCTCATGTTCTTGTTAAGTCATAACATAATATGCATTTTTTATAATTGACTAACATCTATTATTTATCAATTGAACGTGGTTGGAAAGAAATTGTCCATCCGGGCGCAACTCATCTTGCTACAACTTTCATTGCAATAAGAAGCCTTCATGAGCACAAACATGACTTGCAAGCTACGGTGACAGATAAGTTATTTGTTGATTCTTGATATGCAAAAAGTAATAAAGGCAAACATGTTATTGGCATAATTCTAGATAACGATTTTTGGGATGATATGGGTAAAATATCTAAAGTTGTGAGTCCATTGATGCGCTTGCTCCGGATTGTAGACTCAGATGAGAGGCCTTCAATATGATATGTGTATGATGGCATGTACAGAGCGAAAAATGCATTTAAGAAGTTGTTTAAGAATAAAAAGAGATTGTACAAGCCTTATACACGAATCATTAAGCTATGCTGGGATAGGACGTTGCGTCGTGATATCCATGCTGCGGCTTATTATTTGAATCCTACCTTTAAATATGACGAAGCATCTTTTTACACAAAGCAAGAAGTCATGAGTGGTTTCCTTGATACTATTGACAGTAAAGCAAGTGCGTTCAATTTGAACAAGACAAGGTTAATAGAAGAGAGTAGATTATATTCAAACCGGGAGGAAAGCTTTTCTCGTGGGCTTGCTCTTGAAACCACCAAAACCACACGTCTTGGTATGTAATAGTTATAAAATTTATGAGTTCTTTTGTTTTTTAAGTCTAATTTATTTATTATGTTTAATTTTCAATTAGATGAATGGTGGAGATCATTTGTGTATAGTACTCCAAATTTGCAAAAGTTTGCAATAAAAATTCTTAGCCAAACTTCAAGCTCTTCGGGATGTGAACGAAATTGGAGTGTTTTTGAGCGCATACATACTAAAAAGAGGAATAGATTAGAGCATCAAAGGTTAAATGATCTTGTTTTTGTTCATTATAACTTGCATTTGCAAAACAGGTATAAAACATTGTCAATTACTCAATCATGCATCACTCTTACTGTTATTATCTATTATTTTCCTTAATATTTTTCTTGTCATGCTTTTAATATTTCATTATGGTATTTTAGGAGGTGTTCTAAGAAAATAAGTTTTGATCCTATTGATTATGAAAGTATTGATAAAATTGAAGGTTAGATAGTTGACGATAAAGAGGAGGTTAGTGAACTTAATTATAAGGAGTTGGAACAAATGTTATATGGAGAAGGATCTATTCTTGCTGGAGTTGCTAATCACCCTTCTTTTTATGATTCAACCGATGGTTCAGGGGGTTGGTTTCAAATCTTTAAGCAACTTAGTATCTATTTTAAATTAAATTATAAATTTTAACTTATGATTTCTATTTTTTATTGAAATTTATGTAGATGATGGCAAGGGCGGATTCAGCCCCTTTGAGGGTAGGCCTCAGATTTGAAAAAAAAATTTATTAATATACAGGCCATAAAATTGTTAATTAACATATATACCGAGACGCACCTTCAAATTTTTAAAAAATAAGAATTATTATACATACTATATATCTAGGTCTACAAAAAAACTTGTTATTAATATATATATATATATATATATTCCAAGCCCACATCATATTAAAAGTTTAAAACTCTCTCCAGTGTTTTTCTACACAGCTTTACCTGTTTTTTTATGATTTTATCCGCAAATTCTTTACCCTCTCTTTCTCTTTCTCATGTTATTCTCTCTTAAAATTTTTGAAGACTGAAATTGTTAAATTTTCACTTCTCAAGGTGTCATAATTAACTCCGTTTTTTGTTTTATAGATTTTATGTATGTATATTGTTCATTTCAATTTAGTTTATTTAAGGATTGAATCATTTTTTTTTTCTTTTTGAGGTTTTTTATTCTAATTTGAGAGAAAAAGATATTAATTTTGTGAGTTTATTTTGTATTTTCTATCTAAGAATGAACATGCTTTCTCAAATTAAAACCTTAACTATATTTTAAAGGACGTTATTCTTCATCCTTCACCCACCACTTTCCTATATTCTAAACGTCACCATTCAGTTGTTCAAAATTATTAAAGAAATTTGAGTTACTATCTATATTTATACTAAAAAAAATTCCCCTCTTTTATTAATTCATAGTAAAAGTCAACGTAATGTTAACTTGATTTAAGTTTTAGTTGATTTTAGCTTAATTAGGCTAGGTTTGATCAACGCTATGAAAATTTATATTATTATATTTGAAAGCCAAAAATGAAAATATTAAAAGAAGGTTTTGTTCAAGGTTTACTCGACACTTTTACTCAAAATTTTGCTTCTCATAGATTTATTCAAGTAAGAAAATATTGTGTTAATGTATATTTTTTTTTCTCAGGTTCTTAATATTGAATTATTTTTTTTAATTAAAGTTTGGTGATTTTTTAAAGTTTTCACTAATTATTTGGCAAGTAATGGCCGAGCCGCGGAGGCCTCCCCTTGACAAAAATCCTGGATCCATCACTGGATGATAGTGATGGTTATGATGATGATGATGATGAATTTTAATCAACATGAAGACGGATCAAAGAAAAAACACTTGCATCAAATGTTTTGTTATTAATTATTATGTGTTTTGTCATTTTATATGTAATGGATGAACACAACATCATGTTTGAATTTGGACTTTGGATTGTTGTTAAATACTTAAATTATGTTGAGATTGTTATTGAATTTGAACTTTGAATCATAGGGCAGTAATTAAGTTGTTATTGTCATATTAAAAAATGGAAATTTCAAAATCTAAAAAAAAAAAAAAAACAAGTTTTTTTTTTTTTTTGCAATGCTGATGTTAGCATGATGACATCATCGGTCCCAACTAGTTGGACCGGTTGACCCATGACCCGGGTAGCAGAACAGGTTGCCCTCTGGTACGGGTTTTAAAGTAGTGGTCTCGGGTTTGAATTTCCCTTGCTCTCAAGATTCAAACAGGTGAATATGGTGGTGGGATGTTGTCCTAGTTACATACAGTGATTAGTCGAGATCTGCGCAAGCTAGTTCGAACACCTATTTCGAAAAAAAAAAAAAAAAGATCTTTATTATATCATATTCAAATTGAACTAAGATATCTAAAAAGTGGATTTATCAAATTGATTAGGACTCACATTCTTAATCCTAGGGTTCTATTTCTACCCTCCCAAGTTTAAATGGTTTAGGTCATACCTTGCTTGGTCCAAGTAGGCCCACAATGTGATTGGACAACTAAGTGATTGTCTAATTTCAAATATTTGGGCCAAATTTATCCCATTTACAGTACACAGCTATTGGCCCATTATGAGATTGGACCACTAAATGGATTGTCCAAATCAAATAGTTGGGCCGAGTGGAGCCCATTTAAATTCTCTGAACCTTGATAGGCTAATATCGGCCCATTAATAAATAAAAAACCTCTACCTTCGAGCCCTCAAAAAGTCGCCCGAAGAAGAAAGGGTTTAACCATTAAAGGGTATTCTTTCCGATAACCCAATAAATACTTTAAAGGCCACGGCCGCCGCTGTAGATTCTTATTCCCGCCGGTGTCGCTTATACACTCGTCAAGCCTTTAGTTTCTCTCACTGTTACGTTGTTTCGCCTTCGCTACAATTTCTTTCTATTGAGTATTGATATCTTTGGTTCACAAATCTTTGAATTTTTGTTCTGAACTAGGACGTGCGAAGTGCAGAGAAGAAAAAAAAAAATGAATAAAAAGAAGCAAAGCAGAGATATGGAGACGAAGGAGGAAGAGATGGACTTGAGGAAAATTATGAAAGACATAGAGTTTCTGGGTAATTTTTTACTTTTATTTCAGCTTAATTTCTTTTTTCCATTTAATTGTGAAGATATTTGTACGTGGATTATCAAATATTTCTTTGATGCATGTTTTTGTTGATTCTAGTGGAAACTGTTTGTATTGGATTTTTTTTGTTCTCGTTTTTGGGGTTAATATAGTATAGAAAAAGCAATTAAGTAATTCAAATGCTTTCTTCTGAACTTATGTCGTGGGCTGAGAGCTTCGTAGACAGAGAGGGAGAGAAAGATACAATTTCGAAATTGAATTTAAATAGAGGGGTGATATTTGTGAATTCTGCTTAGAATTCCTTAGTGTTTTCTTGAAGAAAGTTTGTTGTATTGGGAAGTACTTTATAGGAGTATCATTATTGGTCCTAATGTTCTTGAAGGGAATTAATTTTTCTTTTGAACAATTGTCAGATTAAGACCTTCGCATGGCGAAAATTGGTTGATCTAATGCTACTACTTTACTATAAGTTTCATTGATGGGTGGAAATGTAGTAGCAGAAATAATTTGATGAGAGTGAAGAATGAAATTTACCAAATAACTATGCTGTTATAGGATGTAAATTTTTTCTCTGACATAGCAGTACCTGAAGCACTCCTGCCTGCCTCACTTGCCTCAGCTTCAATCTCCTGTGCCAGATTTTATCATTGGTCTTGTTTTTGGGTTTTTTTTTATATTTTAAATCCTATCTAGCTGTAGGATAAGTCTCTGGAGCTTGCACTTTGATAGCCATGATTTGATTCTCTGGATGTGTAGGAATGCTATAACTTTTGACAAAGAGAGGGTTTGTACTATTTTGTGTGTATTTGCTGGTGAGCTACTGTAATCAATTTCATCCCATGGTTGTTTGTTCTTTTAATTTGTTTTAGGTTATTGCCCCTCCACAGTCGATGCATGAATGCAAATTAGTTTTTTTTTTTTGTTAACTTTGATATTCTGCCATCTCAGGTTCCTCGCACATGACATGGAAAGAGAGGAAAGAACTGGAGAACAAAAGGGTTGTATCTTTAGGTGGAAAGGTAAGAACTCACAAAGCATGCAAGCTTTGAGGACAGTTATTTATTTATTTATTTTTATGTTCTTTAAAGCCCTATATACTGTAATGCAATTTAATTTCTTCCTGAATATTTCTTTCATGCTTGTTGTTTCAATAGCCTCCTAAGAAGCAGAGACTACCATTAAGTGTGGCCCGAGTACCCATGAAGAGACAAAAGGAAAGAGAACAGAAGTTGCAAGAAGAGGTGATTGATTTCTTCACCCTTCTAATGGTTTGTTGCAAAATTTGATGCACTTGTATTAACCAACTGTGGTTTTTAGAGGGCAATTCTTGGACGATTTGGAGGGAAGTTTGCTGGCTCCAAAAAACCAATGGAGAAGCGCAGGCCTGAGGATAGGGTGCTTAAGTCGACTGAAGGTCGTTTTAGAAATGGTGTACTTGATGTGAAGCATCTGTTACATGGAACCCCGTCAAGAAACAGTGATCCCGGTACACCTATGGGTGGCAAAGGGAAAAAGAAAGGAAGGGGAAAGAAGCACCATGGTAAGAAGAAAGGCGGTAATAAGAAGCGCCATTGAGCATATCAAACTTACTGGGGAATCAACAGTAGGAAACTCAGCTTCTTGGAGACAAATTAATATTGTTTCACTGGAGTCAAAGATACTGATAGTTTTCTATTTGTTTGTGTTCATCATATTGGTTAATGTCTGATTAAGCTTTCATTAAATATGAAGTACCTACTCGATCCAAAGTGTTAGATAATCTCGATTAAGTGAACAAATTGGGTCTTGGATACAGTGAAATTATACGCAAAAATAGGTTTAATCATCTTATAAGTTGTAACACAACTATTATGCAATCAGAAAGAACATAAATACTTCATTTGATGAATGTAAATGATGTGAGAATTGATTTGTTCTACTTCTAAGTATGAATAACTGTTTTCCGCAAGAGAATACAAGGAATCATCTTTTAAGATGATGCAATTCCCATTCACTTTTAACAATGGATTCTGCCTTGGATAATCAGCTACTGAAATACTTGAACACGCTGAATTTTTTCGTAAACAAATTACAACCACTGGATTCATGGCTTCGAGTTACTTTTATTCCTGTATTATACATAATATATATACCAGGTAGTATACATATTATGAATATGCCTCGTAAGAATCAAATCTCTTCCTGACTTGACATGTTTACTCATATATTAGATACATCTAATACCATATTATATTTTGGAGGTATCCGCTGTTACCCGGTTCAATGCAATGGCTGTCTTGGAACCAGATGGACGACCCAACTGTTTGCTGATGAACTCGCCAACAGACAGGAGCTTCGTCAGATCCACATTGGTTTGTACACCAAGCCCGTGAAGCATATATACCACATCTTCGGTAGCCACATTACCAGAAGCACCCTTAGCATATGGACACCCACCTAAACCCGCAACAGAGGAATCCACTGCGCTAATCCCCATCTGTGGCGACAAATTCAAAAGGAAATGAAATTAACATCAGTTTCACAAAAACAAAACATGATGAGCTAGTCACTACAGAATATCATCAAATCCAAGTGAAAAAGAATGTGGCTTCATCTCTAAGAAATCTGGGCTAATGTAAATGGACTTCTGGTGATCATTAGCGAAGACTGATCAACTAGATAAGAATGTCTATCATCATAAGATTGGATCTACTATGGCTTACTTGAAGGGATACTAAAATATTGGAAAGAGATTGTCCATAAGTATCGTGGAAGTGAACAGCAAGCTTCTCAACAGGAACAACGGCCATAACAGCTTCAAGCATTGGAACAACAGTACCTGAGCCAAAGAAAATGAAAGAAAACAGAAATGAAATAAAGTACTCCAAAACTTGAGAATCCATTCATCAGAAAGGAAAAAATTTAATGTCTAATCCTGTAAAGGTGTAGCCCACCTCCTCCTCCCTGTTTCCCTCCCTCTCCCCACCCAAACAAAATAAGTAAAAGGATAGTTTTCAATAAAATAAAATTCCAAGAATAATTTGACACTAGTCACACTCTTATTTAATTCAAAAGTACTTTTGCTAAGAAAACAAAAGGCAGTTTAGAAAATTACCTGGTGTACCAACTCCAATTGTATCACCGAGGGAAATCTCAAAGCAACCCATATCATGAAGTTCTTTTGCCACATATGCCACTTTGGATGGATGAATCTCTCCTTCCACTGGACATCCGACAACACACGATACATACCTAAAAGAATTCAAATTGTTCAGCATCTCAGACCCAGCAAAATTGATAAAGAATATGGTCTCCTTACAATTTTTCAATATAAATATGGTTCCCTTACAATGGAACCATTTAAACGTGAATTACACCAAAAGATACAGAGTCAGCAAGCAAAGTTATTAAAAAGACAGAACTAAAACCATACAAAACTTACAGAATGGTCCTGAGCATAAAGAATTCTCACTAACAATTCATAGAAGTAAATAGAATATCCCTGGAAAGGGGAGAGAAACAGATGGGTGGCTGGGGGTAGGACAAAGAAGGCTAGAAAGGGAAGAAGGGGAAAAAAGACATACCCACGAACAGGTATTGAGAGTTCTTTAGCCGCTAGAGTAACTGCACGATAACGAGCAAGACTTTCCTCAATGCTGCAATTGATGTTTGACTTCGAAAATGCCTCAGAAGCTGATGCAAAGACTGCAATTTCCTTAGCACCAGCTGCAACAGCAGCTTGAAAGCCCTAGATATTGAGCCACAGGTTAGAAATTGTCAGACTGGCATAGCACTGCCAGGAATCATATGGATTTTTAGAGAACATAAACTGACTTTCATATTAGGGGTGAGAACAGGCAATCTAGCTCCCTCCAAATTGCGAACTCCCTCCATTACATCCTTTGCATCTGCTAACTGTCTATATTCTATTTGCATATTAGTATATAGTAAAAACACACACACATGCATTCACACGCGTGCATGCACATATCAACTTGCTCAATAAAAGTCTAATTGATAAATGGATTGAATCATTGAAACTAGACATACAGAGCTTTAATTTCATATATTATATGCTAAATTTGGTAAAAAGTAATGTATCAATTCATTCTTATATCATATGCTGGAATCATTATGTTGAACGAATACAGAAAAAAGTAAACAATTGGAGATGGTAAAGTTCCTTTATGGAGTCCAAGGACCTTTACAAGAAATTGATAACAACAAATTACCTAGTATATGCTTTGCTCTTGATATTCTAATTGCATGTTAGTAAATAATAAAAACACACACGCATGCACATACATACATGCTGAAAGAAGAACTAGCTATTACAAATGATAATGGGAATACCGCCTTTTTACTTATTGCTGGAAACGAAAGGGTGGATGTTGCCAGGGTTATGTTTGAGAAAAATAGATGGTTACTAAGTATACGTGCAAATTTGGAGGATTTACCGATTCACCGAGTAGCTCAATTAGCCCACGTAGACATGGTAAATTTCCTGTATGGAGTCCAAGGACCCATACAAGAAATTGATAACAACAAATTGTTGGATAAGTATGCTTTCTTCTTGATATTCTAATTACATATTAGTAAATAATAAAAACACACAAGCGCGCATGCATGCACACACACACGCGCGTAATCACACACAGACACACATGTTGAGAAGAATAACTAGTTATTACAAATGATAATGGGGATACCACTTTTTTACTTGTTGTTGGAAACTAGACAGATATGGCTTTAATTTGATGTATTATATGCTGAATTTGAATAACTATAGACCCTTCACATTCTAGTCAAAAAGATGTGATATAAATCTCGGTTTGTACTAAATAATCAATAGTGAATTGGCTATAACTTGCTTAATAAAAGTCTAATTGATGAACAAATTGAATCATTGGAAAGTAGACAGACAAAGCTTTAATTTAATATATTATATGCTAAATTTGCTAAAAAATAATATATCAATCCATTCTTATATTATATGCTGGAATCATTATGTTGAACGGATACATAAAAAAGTAAGCAATTGGAGATGGTAAAGTTCTTTTATGGAGTCCAAGGACCCTTACAAGAAATTAATAGTAACAAATTGTCTGGTAAGTATGCTTTGTTCTTAATATTCTATTTGCATATTAGTAAATAATAAAAACACAAACGTAAGCACACACACGTGTGTGTGCACACATACACACATGCTGAAATAAGAACTGGCTATTACAAATGGTGATGGGGATACTGTTTTTTTACTTACTTTTGGAAACGAAAGGGTGGATGTTGCCAGGGTTATGTTTGAGAAGAATAGATGGTTACCAAGTATACTTGCAAATTCAGAGGATTTACCGACTCACCAAACAGCTTAGTCGGGCCACGTAGAAATGGTAAAGTTCCTTTATGGAGTCCAATGACCCTTACAAAAAATTGATAACAAAAAATTGTATGGTAAGTATGCCTTGTTTTTGAGATTCTAATTGCATATTAGTAAATAATAAAAACACATACACACACACACACATGCACATGCACACCTACGCACACACACACACACATGCTGAAAGAAGATTTGGCTATTACAAATGATCATGAGGATACTGCTTTTTTACTTACTGTTGGAAATGGAAGAGTGGATGTTGTCTGGGTTTTATTTGAGAAGAATAGACGACTACCAAGTATACATGCAAATTTAGAGGATTTGCTGATTCATCAAGCAGCGCAATCAGGCCACATAGAGTTGGTAAAGTTCCGTTATGGAGTCCAAGGTCCCTTTCAAGAAATTAGTATGAACAAATTTCCTGGTAAGTATGATTTGTTGTGGAATATGTGGATGAGTAGGATTTTTAGTTACATGTGGTTTAATGTAATTAGTGTTTGATAATTTTATTTTTTTTGTATTAATGACATATATTACACTGACTAGTCAGTAGTAAATTTGTCATAACTTGCTCAATAAAAGTCTAATTGATTAACGGATTAAAGCATTGAAAACTAGACAGACAGGACTTTAATTTGATGTATTATATGCTTAATTTGAATAATTGTAGACCTTTCATATTCTGGTAAAAAAGATATGATATCAATCTCGGTTTCCACTAAATAGTCAGTAGTGAATTGGCCATAACTTGCTCAATAAAAGTCCAATTGATGAATGGATTGAATTCTTGGAAACTAGACAGACAAGGCTTTAATCTGATATATTATATGTTGAATTTGGTAACATATAATATATCAATCCATTCTTATACTATATGCTATAATCATTATGTTGAATGGATACAGAAAAGCCATTCAATTGGAGTTGATAAAGTTCCTTTATGGAGTCCAATTAGGGGTGAAAGTCGATTCGAGCTGCTTGTGAGAAGCTTGAGCTTGGCTTAAAATTTACTCGAAATCAGCTCGGCTTGGGACAAGTTGAGTGCGAGCCGAGCCGGCTTGACTATAGTGTTGAGCTAAGTTCAAACACGGTACTATTCGTCTCGTGAAGCTCGCAAGCTTGAGCCAACTCAAGGGTTTATTTGTGAGGTTTTAAAATAATAAGGGGCCATATGAATTTATGATATGTTTTAGTTTTAAAAAATTGCAAATCCACCCATACCATATCAAATGAAGTCAAAATCGATTTGGGAATTGGTAAATCAAATTAGAAACAAGCCCTAACTCTAAAAAGATCTCTCCTTTTGTTCTTCGTTGTTTTCCATTCGTCGTCTCTCCGTCGTCGTTTTTCCTCTCCTCCAACGAATCGTCCTTCTACTTCTTCTCGTGACTCTCATTCACTCTCAGTCTTAGACTCTCAGCCTCTCAATCTCAAGTAATGTTGATTTTACAGCCTCTCAAAAGTCTCAGTGTAAGTCTCAGCCTCTCAATCTTAGTCTCAATCTCAATCTCAAGCAAAGTGTAATTGATACGAGTTAAGTGTTTCATTGTATTTTGAGTTAGTATGTAATGTAAATGTGTAATTGATATGAGTTAATATTTCAATTGTATGTAATTGGTGATGTATTGTATATTGTATTTTTGTTTGTGCTAATTGAGCTCTAATTCGAGCTACAACTCAATTTAGCTACAACTCAATTTGCACTCGGTTGAAATCAAACTGGCTCGAGCTCGATTAATTGAGCTAGAGTTCGAATTCGAGTTTCCAATAGTATTACAAGTTTGAGTTCGATTTGGCTTTGCCAAGCTCAATTGGGCTCAAGCTCGAACTCGAGCTTGTTGCTATAGTAACCAAGCCAAGCTCGATTAGTCAAAAACTCAGCTCGACTCGACTTGATTAGACCCCTAAGTCCAAGGACCCTTACAAGAAATTGATAAAACAAATTGCCAGGTAAGTATACTTTGTTCTTGATATTCTAATTGCATATTAGTAAATAATAAAAAACACATACGCATGCACGCACACACACACACACACACACACACACGCATACACACACATATACACCCCCTTGAGATATACTCTATTTGATTGACATGTAAAATTTTTTAAGCTTTAGAATTGTTTCATTTTGACATGTTGGATGATTGTTTGACATGTGATTGCATCTGATTGGTGATGATGTGGGATATGTTCATTTAGTTGCATGTGATTGATGATGATGTGGGATATGTGGATGAGTAGGATTTTTGATTACATGTGGCTTAATGTAATTGGTGTTTGATATTTATTGACATGTAGGATTTTTTTAAGCTCTAGAATTACGTCATTTTGATATGTTGGATGATTGTTTGGCATGTAGGATGTGTGGATGAGTGAGATTTTTGGTTACATGTGGCTAAATGTAATTAGTGTTTGATATTTTTTAGTATTAATGACACATATTACATTGAACAAACAGTAGTAAATTTGTCATAACTTGTTCAATAAAAGTCTAATTGATGAACAAATTGAAGCATTGAAAACTAGACAGACAGAACTTCAGTTTGATACATTATAGCTACCTTTGATATGGAATATTCCTTACTGTCGAACCATCACATTCTAGTCGAAAAGATATGATATCAATCTCGGTTTCCACTGAACAATTAGTAGTAAATTGACCATAACTTACTCAATAAAAGTCCAATTGATGAACATATTAAAGCATTGAAAACTAGACAGACAGGGATTTAATGTGATATATTATATGCTAAATTTGGATAACTGTAGACCCTTTACATTCTGGTCAAATATATATGATATCAAATTGTGGCATCCCAAAGGTCTACTTTATGATCACAACATGGTGTCCTTCCATTATAAATTGTATTGTTCAGTAACACATATCCATTAATATAAGCCATTGCTGAACCATTGGAATATGCTAAATCATTTGAAATATGCTGAACAATGACAAGAAATCCAACAATCACCATTACTATTACATATTCAAAAAACATGTTGAACCATTTTTAATTGTAATAAGTCAAATGTCGAACCACAACTTATATTTAAAAAAAAAGGGCCTTACTACTCTAATACATTAAGTACATAATTAATATGATATCAAGTACAAATCATGGTTTTAAAAATCAGACCAGACCGGTCGGTCCAATCGGTTGGATCGGGACTCAGTCACATGTCCGGTTTAAGTCAATATAAAATCCATTATTATTCAGTAACCCTCTATGAACTACCAATGAACCGGGAAAAAAATGTGAACCACCGGTCCAACCAAACCGCTTGATAAACCGGTCAAATGTTTCAAAAAGGGAAAAAATCCCTAACTTTTTCCAAATTCTCACTTTCTTTAATTTCTCAGTTTCTCTACACAAAATCCTCTGAAAATCTGAAATCCCACTCAAATCGCCACTCAATCTCAATGAACTTCACTCTCTGAAGTCTAAAATCGTAACTATTGTGTCAATCGCAACTCAACTCTCTAAAATAGATGACGACGACGCCTTTCTCCCTCGCAGGAAATCGACAACGACAGCTCTATTCCTTGCTAGAA